GTGTTCTTGCATTGAGGGAGGACATGAGAAGAGGTCCAATGTCTGTCTGCTACCTTTATACTTAACCTGTAAATATATGTGCATAGACCTATATTCCTGTCATTGTATATTAATATATTTACATAGGTACATGCCTATGTTTATACCTCTATAAATGTATTTTGCCTCCTAGTTCTTTCCTCTATTTCCTTTTACTTTCCTCCTGCCCTGCTGTCATATTCGACCTTCATTCAGCTCTCTGTACTTCCTCTTGGCTACCTTGCACTTGATCAAACCCCACTAGGAATTCTATGCCCTCCCCGCCGTCGATTTTAGATTACTTGTTGTTCCCTTGCCCCTGGATTTGTTGGCTCCCCCCTCCTTTTCCCCTACCTTCTCTTCTCCCCCGTCCCCCAGTCCTGTTGTTGTTTTCTCAGGATTGTTTAAACTGCCTATGTTATATAGATAGATATGAAGAAGAAGAAAAATGGCCTATCAATAGTTCCAGGTCTGTCTGCTGACCTTATGAATGTTTTCTGATCAGGTCTAATGCAGTGCCAAGCCCTCCCCCACCCCACCCACCCCACCCTCTGTGTCTGAAGTCCACTTTTAGAGAATTCCCTGGGGACATTATTGCTTTGTTCCCCTTGCTGCTCTGTTGCCCTCCCTTCATGTTACACCCTGGTGTATTTGGGGAGGGGGGAATTCAGACCAGACACAATTCTGCACTGTCTCTGGTGCTGCCCCCCAGAGTGTTGTAGGTCAGTAAGGGGATGTCGTGTCTCCTGGTGAGGCCGACCCGACCCTTCAGTGCTCTCTGTGCATTGGCTGCTCCAAGCGGGAATGTTGTCCTCAAAGCTTGGTAGGCCAGGATGCTGTTCTCGCTCTTAGTTTGCTCCAGTGTGATCTGGGCAGATCTGCCACTTTCCCCAGGCTGTATCGTCAATGCTATCCTCTGTAGTACATTCTTCTGGGGAGGGGGGGGGTCGACGTAGAAGAGAGCTTTGCCAGAGTATCCATGTATGTTGGGTGCAGGCCACACCCCCAAGGAAATGCCCTTTTCAACGCATTGCTCGCATCAGATAACAAAATGGAAGGTTGGGTCACATCTGCCACACCACTAGAGCCGTGGCCAGCCAAGTTGACACAGGCCCATCACAGATCCCACGAGGCAGAGCAGACCTGTCCCAGACCATTTCCAAGGCTGTCATCTTTATGGAAGCCCACTGTCCCCTCTTTCCCATGAAGTGGCCGGTGGGTTGGAACTGCCACACTAACCACGTATCCAGTGCACTACTAGGGCTCTGTCCTGCCCTGTTGTTTTAATAAAGCAGGTCTCCTAATGTCCAGTACTGACGAGTGACGGCACCGAACAGCAAGAACGTATCTGCACCCAAAGGCCTGTTGCTGACTGCTGGGGACACCATGTGCTACAGAGTAGAATTGCTTCTTACGGTTTCTTGGCTGTCATCTCAGGGAAGCAGATCTCTATGACACGGCTGGGTGTGGTCAAGCTACCAATGTTTAGGTTGGTCCAACACAAGCCTTTCGTGCCACCCAGACTCACTGCCATTGAGTCCATTAGGATGCAAAGCACTGTTCGTGTTATCTAGGGACCCGTCTGTCCATCCAATGGAATATTATTCAGTCACAAAAAAGGAGCCGCGTTCTGATACATGCTACAACGTGGATGAAACCCGAGAACACTACGCTATGTGAAACAAACCGGGAAAACATTCTGCTCTATGAAGGGAAGAATAGGCAAACCTATGGAGATAGTAAATAGACTAGTGGTTGCCTGGGACTGGGGAGCCAATGGGAGCAGAAAGACAACAGCTAAGGATAAAGGGTCATTTCAGGGGGAACAAAACTGACTGTGTTGAAGTTAACACAGCTCTGATTACACAAAACTCACTTGTCATCAAGTTGGTGCAGACTCGGGCCTCTACAGGACAGGCTAGAACTGCCGTGGGTTTCTATAACTGTGAGAACAAAGTCTCCTCTTCCTCCTGTCGGTTGTACTAAGAACCGTGGAATTGTACAGTTTAGCGGGTGAGTTGTGTGGTATGTGATATAAATTACATCTCAATAAAGCTGTTACCAAAAAAACCCAAAAATAGATCATGTTCGTCTGCGATGCTCAGCCCCCTGCAAGGACGCCTTGTTTCATTCTCATGACAAGGTCACAGGCCTCCGTCCAAGGTGCAGCTGTTGGTCTCTCCCCATTGGAGGGGAGAATAAACAAAATTATTGTGGTAAGAATTGTACGAGCCCCCAATAAAGTGATTTTAAAAAAAATAAAATTGACAACTTGCAGAAACAATTGGCCCAGTGGACTAAGAGATAACACGAACATCGGGCCTCCATGATGCCGACACTGGCTCCCACTACCAACTGCTTGGAAAGGGCTCTAATTAGAAGATCCTAGATAGAGTGGCCATCACTTGTCTGTCCGTTTGTCCTACTGTGATGACTTGGGTGGTGCTGTGATGCTTGAAGCTAAGTCACTGGAATTGTCAAATACCAGCAGGGTCACTCAACGTGAGCAGGTTTCAGCGGAGCGTCCAGACTAAGACTACCAGAAGGAATAGGCTGTCCACTGCAGAGGAATTAACCACTGAAAACTTTATGGAGAACATCAAAACATGGATACTGAAACCTTCCTGAATAGAGGCAGAACATTGTCAGAGATAGTGCTGGAAGGCAGGAAGGCACTTAAAATATGACTGAGGAAGAGCTGCCTTCTCAAAGTGGAGCCCACCGTCATGGCATGGATGGAGTAAAGCCCTTGGAACCCTCATTGGCTGACGGGGCACAACTGAAAGTGAAATGAAGCAGCTGCAAACATCTATTAGTAATTGGAAGCTGGAATGTATGAAATAGGAACCTAGGAAAATTGGAAGTTGAATCCACAAAGATTGACACCCTAGGCATTAGTATGCACTGGCATTGGCCATTTTAAATGGGAAAATCTTACGATTTACTATGCTGGGAATGACAGATTCAAGAGGAATAATGTCCCATTTCAAGATCTTGGAGTACAATGCTGTGTTAGTCTTGGTGGACTAGAGAAACAAATTCATAGACACTTATATGCATGTAAGAGAAAACTTAATATCAGAGAGCAATTGGGCATTAAGAAAACATTCCAGCCCAGTCCAGATCAAGTCCATAAGTCTGATATTACCCCATATGTCGATAGTAGTCCATAAA